ATAAAATTATTATTTACTTCAATTTTTTGTCTTTTACTACAATTCTTCTTGCTTCCGCATTCCCCTTATCCCTGGATATATATATATATATATATATATATATAAAGAGAAATTGATGCAATTGAGATAAATAGAAAAAAAATCTTATTTTTATCTAAGCCCTAGTCACGTTCTCTTTTTCGGCAAAAATCATGTTTTTTTTTTTAAACAAAAGGTGGGATCCTCAATTAACTTAATAAACTTTGTTGGTAGATAGCTTATGATACCAAGGACAACTTTCCTTTAAATTAATTAACCATTAGTGGGTTAAAATATGATTTGCCATTAAATTACATTGAACCGAGAAAATATCTTTAATGAAACAATTATAAAGCGCAATGGTACAATTAGTAATTAGCGGTTACATAAAGAATGGTTGTCATGCCCTCGCAACGTTATGAACTTTGGACAGTATTTTTTAATTCAAATTCTCTCACTTTCAGAATGTTAGAATTAGATATTAATCTCAATCTAACGGAGACTAAATTACAAACGAGTTTATGAATCACGTTTAAAAAATATAAAGAAACTAATAGATGAGTGAAAGATATCTTCCTCGATTCATACATTGGTCAAAAATCGATGCTAAATCTNATATATATATATATATAAAGAGAAATTGATGCAATTGAGATAAATAGAAAAAAAAAATCTTATTTTTATCTAAGCCCTAGTCACGTTCTCTTTTTCGGCAAAAATCATGTTTTTTTTTTTTTAAACAAAAGGTGGGATCCTCAATTAATTTAATTAACTTTGTTGGTAGATAGCTTATGATACCAAGGACAACTTTCCTTTAAATTAATTAACCATTAGTGGGTTAAAATATGATTTGCCATTAAATTACGTTGAACCGAAAAAATATCTTTAATGAAACAATTATAAAGCACAATGGTACAATTAGCAATTAGCGGTTACATGAAGAATGGTTGTAATGCCCTCACAACGTTATGAACTTTGGACAGTATTTTTTAATTCAAATTCTCACTTTCAGAATGTTAGAATTAGATATTAATCTCAATCTAACATAGACTAAATTACAAATGAGTTTGTGAATCACGTTTAAAAAATATAAATAAACTAATAGATGAGTGAAAGATATCTTCCTCGATTCATACGTTGGTCAAAAATCGATGCTAAATCT